GTGATGTGGCTCTGTCCTTGGCACCCTTGAGAACCAATGAAACATTGAGTGTTTTCACTGTTGGCAGCGCTGGGCTCGGCAGCCCCCCCTCCACTTCTGAGAGTGCTGCCAGCCGGGATCCGACCTTCCTGTCCCCAGAGGTGACGGAGCCAAGGAAGACCCCACAGGAAGCCAGGGGGCCAGAAGGTTCTTCGCTGCCTGGTCTACCACCGCCCCGGGAGCAGGAGTGGCCCAGGACCTCCATGCCCTTCACCGAGTGCCCCCCAGAGGCTTGCTTGGCAAGCCCCACAGCCGCACCAGAAACGTCCCCAAGTGCCCCGGGAGATGTCATGGCGGCATTTACCCCTGAGGGGGACAGCTCTACTCATCACAGCGGAATTGCCATCGTCCCCAGTACTGGATGTGAGGAGGAGCTGAGGGAAGAGGCACAGGACTCCTCTTCCTCTGGCCACATCGGCCGGTTGACGGGAATCCTGCCAGCACAGCCCGCAGGGCCGAGGAAGGAGCTGCCGTGTGCAGAGGGGGCCCACTCTGGTGGCTTCGAGGCCCAAGAGAAAGAGGCTGCAGGCTCCCCTGCCGAGTCCGGGCAAGGACCAGCTTCTGTACAAGTGGCCACCAAGGCCCCAGCTGCTGTCCAGCTGGGCAAGGAGAGCTCAGCTGACCTGGAGGAGTGGCCCCCAATACCTGAGACCAGGGAACCACAATATCCAGCCGCAGGAAGCTGGGCCAGAGGAACAGGCCCAGTGGAGGTGACGCCTCCGCATTCAGCCAGTAGCTTGGAAATCCTCAGAGCCTTGGACCCGCCTCCCAGCAACTTAGGCCTCGCCTATGAAGCTGAGGCAAATTCTGCCTCCCGGGAAAGCTGCTGGCAGCAAATGGGACCACCTCTGCCACACACACAGCTGCCCAGGGACCCGCACAGTCCTGCTCTGGCTGCAGCAATCAGCGGTTCCTGCAAGAAGCCTCCGGACACCAGTGACGCTCAGGGTCACTCACAGTTAGGGACAGAAAGGGCTGAACCCCATCAAGTCATCGGTGTGGCCGCAGGTGGCCAGCCAGCTGGGGGTTCGCTGGTGAGTGCCCAGCCCTCTCCACTCCCTCCGACTGGGGAAACGTGTCCAGCTTCAAGCCCCATTGCACATACAGATGCTCAGATCCCTGTTGCCGAAGGAGGATCCAGCCGGTTGGCCAGGGAGACGATTTCCAAGGCGGAGAAACCAGTTTCTGCAGAAGCAGCCAAAGAGCTGGTGAATACAGGGTTGGGAGGATTGGAGGAGGGGGCATCAGATCTTGAAAGACAGAGAGAGCACCCAAAAGGGAGCACTGGGGAGTTTCCTGCCCCCTCGCCTCAGGAAAGAGCAGAGTCCTGGAACAGGGAGCAAAGCCAGGGGGTCGCACTAGGGATGCCGCTGCCCCCTCCTCCTCCTGGGACTTCGAGTGAAAGTACTGGAAGGTCAGAGGGGCTGAAGGATGGAGCCAAGGCCCTCGAGGATGATGAGGGTCCTGCTGTGGCTACAGACGAGATCAGATCAGCTGGAGACAACCGCAGGAGCCAGGATGCCACCCCAGAGCCACCTGGTGGTACAGATCCTGGAAACCTGAGGGCAGAGGAGTCTCAGGCTCTTGGTGGCAAGCCCAATACTGAGGGGGACAAAGATGAGGTTTCGAAACAAAGTGGCAACGAACAAAGCGGAATCCTTCCCAGCTTAGACTCGGCACAGCCACCCAGGAAGAACAGTGCTGGACACATAGACAGTCCCAACCCTGAGTCAATGCAGGTAGCGTGGCAGGCGACGGCTGGTGCCAATGTGACCACTGCAGCCACCTCACTGCTCTTCCCTGAGGAGAAGCCGGTCCTGCCCCCAGCACCAGATGAAACTGAGGATGTTGTTCCGGGGTTGCAGTCCAGATGCCCTGATACCCTTCAGGACACGTGGGGATTGGGAAGAATGGAGTCTCTTCCTGCTTTGGAATCGGAGAAATCAGATTTCCTGTCGACTCCTGCTGCAGAGGTTGTATCCAAAGCCCAAGAGGTAGAGAGCACATTGGAAAAAAAGACAGCAGGCCACCTGTCCCCACAGAGGCCCCGCAGCTGTGATGGGGAGAACTTGCTGGCGTCCCCAGGCCAATCCTCTGGGCCAGGGCACAATGTAGATGGACAGGAAGTTCATGCGGATGTGCCAAACACTCCCTGTGAGGAGAGCCCAGCAGTGGATACGATGCTCAGTCTGAAGCCAGATTTTCAGGGAAACCCGTCCCGCCCAGAGGACAGTGGGACAAGAGAAGCTGCATCCGAGAGGCCCCCACTCTCTTCTGAGAACGGCCTCGTGCCATCACAGTCAGACACGGGGGCACCCATCATTGATAAGCTCAGGGAGATGACTCTACCTCCTGCAAGTGGGAAAGAGGCTTATCCAGGCAACTCAGGTGTGAAGACCCAGGGTGCAGGTCCTTCCCCAGCCCACGTACCCACGGGGCCTCGGGAGGACGTGTGCTTGCCCAGTTATGAAGGACAGGAGCAGGCATCTGGATCAGAACTTCAAAGGGTGCTCCCCAAAGACAGTCTGTGTGACGCTCCAAGTTTGGTTCTAGAGAGTTCTCCATTGGAAGAGTCAGAATTGCCAACTCCAACAGGACGGAAGTTGCCTGCATTAGGGGAGAATGGGCAAGAGGGAGCAGGCAGCCGTGGCCATCTTTCAGGGGTCTTGCTTAACTCGGGAGACACTTTAAAAGACTCTTCTGTTGCAGGGAGCTTGGGCGGGGAGGGAAGCTGCTGTGCTGGGCAGGGGCCAGACAAGTCCCAACAGGAGCTGGGTGATGCTGTGGAAGCAGGCAGCCTGCGTGAAGGGGCATGTTGCTGGGACGTGGGGGTAGCTGACGCACAGCCCCCACCCTCGGGCCTGTGCAAGGCAGAGATGGCAAGTAGAGACACAGTGGGGGCCCCGCCTCATCCACCTGACTCAGTGGCCCTCCTGGATACAGCTCATGGTCTGGCAGCCCCAGCACTGGCCAGCCCCAGAGTCACACCCACCCAGGATGCTCCAGAGAGACAGACATGTGATCAAGCCCAGGAAGAGAGACAGCAACCAGGGCCGGCCCTACAGCAAGAAATGGAGTGCCCTGCCACCTTGGCCACCACAGTTACAGAGACCCATGAGCTTCTTGAGAAGTTCCCGCTGGCTGGGGAGCAGGGTGGTGAAGGGGGGGCTGCTGCAGCTGGTGAGAGTGCCAGTGAAGGAGGCCCAGGGACGCAGCAAGCTCCAGAGGAGCCGCAAACCGCTCCAGGTGACACCTTTGCTCAGACTGAGCACTGCCCCACCTCCAGGAAAGGACCCTCTACCTCTGTCCCTGGTGAGTCCTGCGAGACTGAGCAGCTCATGCCCAGCTGCCAGGATGCCTTGCCACGGGCTGGAGAGCTAGATGGGATGCCCAGAGGCACGGAGGGCATTTCTGCACATCAGGCTGGCCCTGACCCAGAGAGGCCCCTGCCGGCTGGGAAAGACACTGCTCCTGACACCCCTTACCTGCATATCCATGGAGCCGCCAGGAAAGGAGCAGAAGACAGTGGTCTGAGAGCTGTTTCCTCGGAGGGCCCCACAGCTCCCAGTGAAAGTCCCTGTCCCATGGAGGAGCCCCTGCTGGAAAAGGCTGCCTCTGTAAAGCTGCCGGCCAGCCTCCTCTTGCAACCAGGAGCTGCAGGTGGGGAGGGCTCTGCTGTGCCTGCCAGCTCTGGAAGCCCCAAAGCTGGAACCACTGAGGAACCTGTGGACTCCATGCCCTACCTGGACAGGATGCCTCTTCTGGCCAAGAGTAAGCAGATGACGGAGGAGGACAAAGTGGCCACAGCTCCAGAAGCCAGGCCCTGTGAGATTCCAGCCTGCTCTGGCAGCGAGGACAGCATGGTGGGTGATGCAGCAAGACAGACAGAGGGCAGCAGGGACAGGGTGGTAGAGACACCTCCAGATCTAAGGAGAGGTGCACCAGGTGGTACGGAAGCAAGCTGCAAGCAGCCTAGCCCCATTGTAGGGCTCCATGACTTCAGGGAGCACATCACCAGAATCTTTGAGCAATCAGTGCTTGGAGCCCTGACTGCTGACCAGCCCCAGAATGCACCAAGTGAAAAGGCAGGAGCTAGGAGGAGTATGGTGGGCAAGGACCTCACCACGCTACTAAGCCCAGAGAAGCTTCTAGATGGAACTCAAGGAATGGCTGCTACCACTCTCCCTGCACCTCCTGCTGGACTCTGGGTGGAGAAGAAGCCAGAGTTGGCTGTGGAGGCTAAGATTTCCCATCTGGTTTCCCAGGATACAGCTCCAGACAAGCTGCCAGGTGAGTCCGATGCCAGTGTTGAGGAGGAGGTGACTGGTGTACCACTCGTAGCAAGGAGAAGTGAGAGGCCAGACCTGGGAGCCGAGGTTCACTCACAGCGGGTGAGGGGTGGGCAGGAACTAGCTTCAGGTCTTTCCTCACCAGTGGCTGCTCAGGGGACATCTTTAGAGAGAGCTGCTGACTTCCAGGTGGCTCCCCAGAGCCTTGGAGAAGAGGCCTCCGTTCAAGGTGACAGAATTCTTTCTGGAAAACAGTGCCAGGGAACACTGGTCTCTGACAGTCACCCTAGAGAAGATGGTACCCAGGACTTGGCTCACACGGTGGGTGCAGGTGATGTGCCAGAATCTACCTGTGCTCTAGAATCCTCTCCTCCCCGTGGGGATGTTTTAATTGAGCCCAAGGCTAATAGTGACCTGCTTGGGGGTGAAAGGAAGCCTGAAGCTGATGCCAGCATCCTGGAAATGCAAAACGCCCCTGGCCACCTGAGCATCCCTGAACCACTGGCTAGAGAAGTGCTGGACACTCCCCAGGAGCCCAGCGAGAAGGCAGGAGCTGCTGGGGAAGTGAAGGGTGACATCACGTTGAGCACAGCCCAGGCATGGGCACACACAGCTGGTGACCTGCCAGAAACAGGTGCTGCAAGGATGATCGCCGGCGTAGCTCATGACTCAGTGCTGCCAGGGAGCCGTCAGGCGATGGAGGACTCAGCTGCCCTGCGAGGGGACAGCCCAAGTGGGCACCAGCCGGCCAAGGAACAGCTGGGACCTGAGCTCCCTACTCCAGCTGGGAACAGGGAGGTGCGTGTTTCACCCCCAGAGCCTGATGACACTGGAGACTCAAAGCTGCAACACCTGGCTCCGGAAGAGCAACACGCTGACAGGTACTTCAATTAAATTCTTGTGGGTTCAGCTTCAAGGGTGAAACTCAGCCTGATTTTTAAAAAGTCAACCCAATAGATGGGTGGTTTTCCAAAAGACTAAGTTTTACATATCTAATGGCTGATATACCCGCTTGCCCTCTCTGGATGTGCTGAGATTCTGCAATATGTGAGCAATGGTTGGAGGAGTGAGAACTGTCTGTTTTACATGCCTCGCTGCTTTTCTATTAACTTAAACCGCTGCCAAAGTGTCATGCGTTCACTGGCTGGCAGTGCTTGGGTGGGTGTGGGTTGAAATCAGCCGTACGTTTTTCTGGAGATGCAGATCTATCTGCTTTTCAGTCTAGATATGTTTAGAGGGGGCTTAGATGATTTGGAAGCATTTCTAAGCCATTAGTTGTATGACCTTTGTTTCCCTCACACCCCACCCTGCCCAAAGGATTTTGGTGTAGTAGCCACTCAAAGCTTTCATTGGGAAATATGTTTTTTCAAAAATGACTAGGAGATTGATGTCTCTCTTACCATCAACATTATCTTATCTATTGCACCCTTTCATTGTCCCAGAAAGAGCCTGGGGCCTGGCCCAGCTACCTTACCTACGGTTCCTGAGAAGGATGCTCCGAGATTCCCTTCAGATGAGACCAGCTGTGTGGGAGGACCAGAAAGGTCAGTGAAGTTCACCGGCGCCTTCCTCAGGCCCAGACACACTGAGAGTTTCACTAAAGAGGGTAGTCTTTATACACGAGTCTTACACAAGAGAGGCAGAGAGCCAGCCCCCTCCTGCAGGCAGGTGAAGTGGTGTGGAGACGACTCAAAGCGCCACTGTTGTGAGATGAGCCGAGTCCCTTTCATATTTGTGCTTACTACCTTTAAAAATCAGAATGACTTTATTGAGATACTAGCCACATACCATAGAATCCACTCATTTAAAGTGTACAAATGAGGCTGGGGATGCAGCTCCATGGTGGAGTGCTTGTCTAGCATGCACCAGGCTCATCTCCAGCACTGCAAAAGAGAAAGAGAAAAAGAATATACAGTGTACGATTCAGTGACTTTTAGTGTACTTAGAGCTGTGCAACCATGGCTACGATCAATTTCAGAACATGTTCTCCACCACCTGCACATCATACCTCAAGCCCTCGTGCTCTTGGCCACAGGCACCCATTAATCTAGCTTGTTGCCTTTTGAGGCAAATGGGTCAGCGCTGGTTTAATCTCTGAAGCAGGTGTGGCTCATCAACAGCAGCCCAGAGATCTTGATTAGGAGCACGGGTTTCAGATGTGTGTGATGGCCAGATTTTCACACTTTCGGGGGACTGCCTGTTCTTTCCTAAGTGAAATGTCACCTGTAATTCTGCCGGAGCTGCTGCTTAAGTTTCATCCTTTGGGGGTAAGGAAACATGTGGACACGCACACTCCGGAAAAGCTCTGCAGTATCCCAAGATCTCGGGCTGTCGTGTGTGTGTGTGTGTGTGTGTGTGTGTGTGTGTGGTGCGTGCGTGCATGTGCACATTTGTAAACATGTGCGGTAGGGTCGGAGTCTAAATTAGTACCTATGTCTCCACCAACAGCTGCAGGCATTTTATAAATGATTTGATTCATATTTTGCACATGCAGAAAGAATGCATGGTCACCTGTTTTTCAAGTCTGAGCGCTTCCTCCAATTCCCAGCTGCCTCTGCTGCCCACAATAGGGACTCTCAGGACTCTGGGCCAGTGTGGAGGCCTGTGCCGCCCAAACAGATGCAGGCTAAGCTGCATTTGACGCCTGTTTCTGCTGCTGACCAGTGAAAAATTCCCTGCAGCCCTTGCTGGTATGTGCCTTACATTCCCAGTGAAGGCACAGGAAGGATGTTGGACTACCTAGAGAAGCCTCTCCTCCGCCCAACAAGGGACTCCATCAGTGCCTTTGGGTTTAAAGACGTACACACTTTATCTCCCTCTTGGAGAATTAGCCAGAGAGAGAGCAGCCCAATAAATATTTCATGGCTCATTGTTTTTATCACTTTAAAAAAATTATCACATCTCAGTGTGCATTAGACGTTGTAGAATTTCTGGCCTATTTGTAAGGTGTATGAAGGAAAGAGAGAACTCCACCATCACGGTACCACCTGATGATTACTGTTTCAGTGTCTTAATGTCACTTCACCCACTGTTTTTTTAGCTTAACTGTTTACAGAGTCATTTTTTCCCTCTGTCATCAAACTCTGTACAGACATTTCTCGGTGGCTAGGTTGCAAGGCTGGTCCTGGGCCCCTAGCCATGAGTCTTAGGTTCCTGCAGTGGTTCTGTTCACTTTGCTCCTGTTGAGACTTTTCATACACCCCCGGAGCCACAGGGTCCAATATAGCAGGCGCTGGCCAAGTGTGAGCGGGGATGTGTGAGGAGTGGGCACGAAATACACACCAGATATTGAAAACTCAGTATGAAGAAAAGAATATAAAAAATTCATTACTGATCATTTTTATACTGATTATATAATATACTGGGTTAAAATGTATTTTTGAATTTAAATTCACTTTTTTGTTTTTAATGTGGCTCCCTCCATTTTTAAAAATTACACATGTGGCCTTTGCAGACATAACTTGCATTCTCTGTAGATTATTTGGCTCCGGGACTTGCTTTTCTCTGGCCCGTGGAGACCCAGGTGTGGTAGAAGTTCAGGCTTCCCTGTGCTTGTGGCTCTTCGGGGAGAGGACTCTTCTCTGTCCCCTATTGGTTGAGGCCTTCTGGAAAGAATTGTGATTATTCTTTCCCTCTCATCTGCCAGATGCAGTGACAGGGGAGGTAAAACCCTGAGCAAATAGGCAATGGGATCCCCTCTTATCCTTAGGAGGCAACTGAAGTTCTCTGGAAGTGCACAGACCAGCTCTGTCCAATAGGAATGTGACACAGTCACGGAAGTACCCTTGAATCTTCTAGCAGCCACACTAGAAAACCTAATCAGAAACTGGGAACATTAACTTCAACATATTTTATTGAACCTAGTATGCAAAAAATATTACCATGTCAACATAAAATTAATGTAAAAATTATTAAGGCAATAAGCTGCAATCTTATTTTTTAAATATATATGTTGTCAATGGACACAACACCTTTATTTTTTTATTTTTATGTGGTGCTAAGGATTGAACTCAGGCCTCACATGTGCTAGGCAAGTGCTGTACCATGTGTTATACTCACAGCACATCTGGATTTGAACTGACCCCATTCCTAGCACTCCAAAGCCAAAGGTGGCTAGTGGCTCCTCTCTCTTGGATACTCTAGCTATAGAGACCTAAGGGCTTTGGCAATTGATCCAGAAGGCCATATCGTCCCACAGGACCCCACAGGATCCCTGTCTGCCCAGGGGGCTGATTCCTACTGGTTTAACACAAATGGCGAGAATGTTTCTTTTCATTGGGGAGGAGACTCAGTATTCTTTCTTACCACAAAAGAGTTGTGTCGACTGACGGGTCTCAGGAAAGGTCCTACCAGGACTGGGGTTGCGGCTCAGTGTTAGAGCGCTCGCCTGGCATGCGTGAGGCACTGGGTTCAATCCTCCGCACCACTTAAAATATATTGTGTCCACCTAAAACTAAAAAATAAATTAAAAAAGAAAAGAAAAGGTCCTGCCAAGGCCAGAAGGTGCAGGGGCTAGGAGCAGAGGTATTGCACTTGAAGGTCAATTCCAGCAGCAGTCCGTGGGAGGCTGGATGGTCAGGCTTCTGTGGACATTGCCAGGCACTGCAGTGAGGAGGAAGTTCAAGGCCAGGGCCCTGAATTCCTAACCCAGCTCTGCTTTACTAGCTACACACCCAGCCTCAGTTCATTCGCCCGTAGAATGGGGACGACAGCACCGGTACCTGCCTCATTAGATTGCCAGGAAGTTGAGAGATCATTGGTTAACGTGTTACACTGGCAGTTTCTGGTGCTCAGTGGTGTTAGGTTCCCTGTCAGCATTTTCCTAGTTCAGAGAGTTGAGTGACCACGTCTCCGGTGTGGAACTGTTTCTGGGAGATCAGTCAATGCTCCCGAGACTGAGGAGCACAAGTTGGCTATTTTTCCTTTCTCACACAGAATTCTTTGCCTGCTGAAATATCTTGCTTTGGAAGGAGAGGATGCTTTCCTCTCTCCTACAGTGTAGCCCACAATAATGTGCAAGTTAAAAAATTTTTAAGATTGCTTTTACGGTGATACATTGTGTGTCTTTCTTTGTGTGCCCTCTTATATTGTTTTTTCGCCATTGAAATTATGTTTTAAGTCACTAGGAAAGGGGCAAAGCAAATCACACCCCAAATTTCTACCCTCTTATTTGATACCAGGTGACTCCCTGCTATTGAATTTTTGAAGATCCTGCTGACTTGAGTAGAACCTATAGCCCATGTCAAATTCTGCACCTAGAGGTCTCTTTGGCCGTCTTGGTGACAGGATGGCTGGGTAACCCAGTATCATATGCACAGGCAGCGTCAAGATGTTTCCTGCTCTACTTGCCAACTTAGATACTGCAGCGGGTACTGCTGGTGATGTGCCAGGGGTAGCCTGTGGCTTTAAGTCCTAGCAGCCACTGCCTCACAAGTAGGTACAGATGGACAGATGGCTCAGGGTGCATGTCTGTACATCGTGTGGTCCTCCCCGTGGAGGAGTCTGGGACCCAGAGACGGCCTCATTGAAAGTGCTTGAACTGGTCTCGCCTTTATAGACCACCTTCTATGTTGGGTAGAAGGGTCGGTTAGAATTTGGCATCTTGGTTACACATCACTCATGTTCACATGTGGTTCTAGATCAGTCTTGGATACCACCCTGCTATGTTTGCTGAGCATTTATTTAAAGGGGTTTTTTTCCCACTTGGAGAAAGGTATTGTGTTCAATTATTAGTGCATTTTAAGAGAATTAAATTGTTCCCAGATTGCCTAGCGTCTTTGTTCAGATCTAGGCTGAATCACAAAGGGCAGCTGGGTTGAAAAGTCGAGGAAAGAACAGAGAGGGATGGTTGGCCTCTTGCCGAGGAAGCGCTGGCAGAACCTGAAAGCCACACGGGAACCGCTCCTCTCCCGTCCTCCCACGCCACCTTCCCACTTGGTCTCTGTTTCTTCCTTCTCTCGTCACTCCTAAAATTACCAGCTGTGACACCATGTTTTCAAGTTTAAGAATAAGACTAGAGGATGACTACAACTGTGTAAATTAAGCAAAAGGAAAAAAGTCTCTTCCAACATCGTTCCCTCAGCTACAGCCAGGACAGCAGATCTCGGTCCCTGGGTCTGATCTTGTAGCAACCTTCTTCCCCTCTTGGGGGCTGTTGAGGAAGACGGATTCCCCTGCATTTCAGCCACCTCCCTGGTGGTGATGTTGATGACACAACAGTGTTTCCAAAGCCTCAGGAAAGTGCCTGGTGTACAGTCGGAACATGAGAAAGATGGTCATTGTTACTGTCCCTACAGAAGTAGGGAGCCCCAGGAACTGAGGTTGGTCTCCAGCCAATCTGCATCTTTGTGCCTTGGTGGCTGTCTGTCCAGTGGGGTTCCTTCGCTTACCCAGCTTGGCCCACAAGGAGCTCCTGCATGGAATGAGATCACAGATTCAAAAGACGGCATACAAGGTAGATTTGCGTAACTGCGCACAACTTCAATCATTGTGAACCATCCTGTATAAAAGCCAAAGGGCCCTTTGACATGCAGCCTTTAAGTCC